TGCCAGAGCACTGTGCATGGACATAGTCCAGGTCTGTGAAGAAGTGGAAGAGAGAATTTAAAGTTTAACATAATTTGTTTATCCCTGTGGGTTTGCAATAAAATGAAGGTTAAATTGTCTTCCTTTGGTTTTGAGAGTTCAGTCAATATTTAAGTCATCAAAGTTAGAGCTAAAATGATACAAATGACTTTCTCAGAGAATGGAGGATCCACTGTTATTTAGTGTTACATAGACCAACAGTGTGATACAGTCTTACAGTCTCAAACCTGAGATATTTTTTTTTCATTTCATAAGTAACTAAGGTATAGTCATAGTAGCTTAAAGGGTTCAAAGTGCAGGCAGTTATCAAACATTGTAACCATACCATAGACACTGGCTCCATGGAACATGCTGTCATGGCACGACGAATGGCTCTTAATGTAGAGGATGGGTGCAAAGGAGGAGCCGTACAGCAGGCCTGACACAACAGCAAGCAGGCAGCCGCTGAAAGGATGAAGAGACTGAGAAACTACATGATGGATTGATTTTAAATCTCCACTGACAGATTGTTGAATTTGTAAAACTAATTTAACTGTTGCATACAAGGCTTACGGACATTTGACTCTCAGGTTGAATGTGCATGGTACACTGGGATGTATACACCCATTTAAAGACTTTCTGTCTGATTACTGCATATCATTGAATGATTATTGTATTATTTTGCTGCTTTGCTAAGACACACATCATGTTACATTAAAAAACAAGCTTGCCAGCACCTGTAGATTAAACAACTAAGGACTCTGGTGTAAGCCTGGGGCTTCCGTAAATATTTAAATTGGTCTTTGTTCTATACTGAAAAACATTCTATTGATAATTTAATCAAAATCAATGTTTCATAGACCTTCCCTTGTCTGTACTTTGAGCTTGCAAGTACAATATTTGTGCATACAGCTCACAGACTGCTACTGAGTTCATCTCACATGAACCGCCTGGTCTTTGGTCCGATGACATCTATCCAGAACCCTGAGGAAATTGGTCCGTAGCTGCCTGAATTTGTTCTCTGCAGAAAGGAACAGCATCCTAATATAGAGTAACTGTGTCTTTCAAAACAAGGACACCATGAGAGCACACAAAACAAGCCAAAGTCATCACAGCTCACTTTGAGAAATCAAGTAGCAGGAATTGACTGTCCTTGAAATTCTCCTTGGTAGAATATTGGTACATTTAAATGTGTTGTGAGTGTGAAGTCAGAAATGACTTCTCAAAAAGACAAATAGACCATCAATGTACTCACCCTGTCAATAAGTAATGGAATTGATTCTGAGTTGGGATGCAGTTCCACGTCTGTTCTCACAAAGAAAAAAATCAGGCCACTGGAACAAACACAAAAGTCACGTCTGTCATCCAAAACAAAGCTCAGAATGACAGCAGAAAACTACTATAATCATGTTTTTTGTTCTTAGCAGCTACAGTGACTAGCAAGAAGGTGGGAGACTTTACTTCCAAATTTAGAGTTTACCTGAGCAGACACAACCCAGCTCCACAGTAATTTAATATCGGCCTGGAAACATCCTGAGCAGCAATCCCAAACCAGCCAAATCTGTGAAAAAATAGTCACTTTCTTTTGAATATATTGCCAATTAAAAAAAAAAGCTGCTGATTACATAAGGTGAAACCTCTATTACAGGACCCAACAAGAGTCCCAGAATCAATTTAACTTGCAAAAAGAAAGGAAATTTGATTTTCTATTCTGGGTGGAAGAACATAAATTAATCTGACTCACCTTGAACTGGCCCAGCCCATCAACAAACTAGAGGAACCCCAAATTAAAATCCCAAGACCAAGGCCAATCGCTTTAACAATTGGAACAGCTGTTATATTACCTGTAGAAGTCATGGGGAAAAAGTTAGCAACATGCAGGTCTTATAGGTAGTGTTAACCTCCCAGGTGACGCTGGTGACAAATAGCGCTCTACACACTTAAGGTTTGATATTAGGGACATTGCAGTTGAATGCTAAATCAGTGTCATGGAAAGCACCTCTGTACAGTATGCTTTGAGACCAGTATGCTCAAAATGTCCACATTAATGTAAGTTTTGATACAGTGTTGGAGCAATAGACACTTGGTTTTGTCCAGTAACAGACTCAAGAGTGGGATCAGTCAGTTTTCCATATGATCCAAAGATTTTGTGCCAGAAGTAAATTTGCCAGCTCTGAGTGGCAGTAATGTCCCAGTTTCATACAACGTGTTTAAAGGATGGAAAAAAAACAAAATGTACTTAAAAATGTTGTGTTTAAAAAAAATAAAAAAATAATTATTTGAGTGTGGTCTTTTGTCCTGTACCTCAACTCAGTGGGGTTGCATGTGCATATCCACATTCTTTGGACAAATACTGTGACAAAAAGGGAGTTCTTGCAACTGAAAATAAGTTAATACAATATGCTATTGATGCTTCAGCTCAGCTTTAAAAAAAAAAAAAATGCTTTCATGAGACAATACCTGTAGCCCAGATGACACCTCCAAGCATTGCAAAAGGGTGGAATTTTGGCGACTGAAGCATCAAGTCTCCAACCATAGATACAACCCATATCGCCACACAGACTACCCACTGAAAAAACATACCTGTAAACAGAACACAGACAAATTCTCATACTGGCCATCAAAGTTTTAATCCTATGGATTTCCCCAGTAGAAAAGCCTTAAAAAGGGACAGTTCACCTCTACATGGAAAACACATTTTTCCTCTTACTTGTAGTGCTATTTATGGAGATATCTCCCTTCACTTGAATATAACGGAACCAGATGGCACTCTGCTTATGGTGCTCAAAGTGCCAAAAAACACATTTAAAAAAAACAAACAGCAATGTCTCTTTCCAGAAATCACGACCCAGTTTTACACTTTTTGTAAGCAGTTTCATGGAGGAACTATTTTATTTCTACTGTACTACACCCGGCAACTGTAGCTGAACATTAGCTATCTCAGTAGTGCTAGGTGAGCTAGCTAATGTTACAGCTCAGTCCAGAAGGATGCATTAATGTTTACATCCTGCACTGTTTTGAGCACGGGCCTCTCATCCAGGAGTAGATGCATGCTTCATTCTGCAAAATTCCAAGAAAGAAAATAGCCACCTGGTTCCATTATATTGGAGAGAAGACAGACATAGGGCTGATATCTCCAAAACTCAGCAACTCACACCACAACAATCTAGATAGATAAATAGCACTACAGGAAAGAGGAAACATATGTATTTGTGATTGTGGGATAAAGTATCCCTTTAATAACTTATATAAACCCTATTAATAACAATAAGAACAAGAACAATAATAATAATAATAATAATAATAATAATAATAATAATGAATCAAGTGCTGAATGCTTACCATCTCCTGTCTCTATTCTCTTTACAGGAACAAAGTTGCTTCCATACAACAGCACAGCAACCACATTTGCAGCAATTCCATAGGCAAAATTAGTCATATTGGTTGAATTAAAGCTGATTTCAAATGTTTCCAGTTCGCCAGTTGCAGCATGTTCGCCACTTGTGCCACCTGGAAGAACTTTGAAGTGAGACAAACATCTAAGATGGGCTGATGTCAGACAACACACCAGCCTCAGAGCTCCTCACATTCATCATTACGCACCAGTTAGAATGTGTCCCTACCTTGTTCAGCGCCCTGACAGCTCACCAGCAATAATGCGGTAACAAATAAAAGCAAAGGTGGGCATTTTGCTTCAAGCATGTTAAAACGTTACAACATTTGTCTTCTATGATTCAGCAGGTCCACAGTGTTAAAACCGGCGTGTATGTGTGTGTGTGTGTGTGTGTGTGTGCGCGCGCGGTGGTGAGGACTGACACTCTGCCAGGTGCTGCCAATTATCCAATCAGTCAACGTGACGCAGTGACGCTGCAGTGTCATCCATGCAAGGACTGAGAGCAGGCGGCAAAGGTGCTTCAATATGAGGGCTTCCATCGAGTCAGTAGTCTTAAATAACTTGTGAGCTATACATCTCTCTTTAAATAAATTACAGGTTGCAGTTTAACTCCTGTGTGTTGCCCTTGGGTGAAATATTACGTGTTATTATTAATGTCAAATTAAGGAAATCAATACACATGAACAAATAAATAAACAAATGATCTGAATATGTTAGGTTCAGGTTAGAGCACTCAGTCGCCTGGCATGCTGAAGACGACAGCACTTATCTGGAAATATCTGGTCACAATAGTTCTATAACAATAGTTCTATATTTAACCTTGTGTTTATTCAGGTCAGGAAATCCTGTAGGCCTATTTCGTATCTGAAGAGGGTATGTGTTTCCTGCTCTTAGAAGCTTCCCTTTTCCATTCTTTATTATATTCTCTGTCTCCATGCACGATCTGAATAGCCTGCACTCAGTTAATTCACTTTATCACGATTACAATTACGAATTATGAAAATTGACCAGCAGATGTCGCCTAAAATGCGTAGGCTAGATGTATAATGGATCAAATATTCTTAGTAGGTTATTTTCATTTAAAACATATGTAACTCCTCACCTTGACCTCAAACCTATGTATTTAAATAGAATCAAATAATATCATCATGAAGTCCCCTTGGATTTGAATGTGTATCAAACAATGATAATTATTTCATTAACTGCTATGATATCCATAATATTCCCATTCACAGGGGCTTGTATTGGGCTGCAAAATTTGCATGAGAGGCTATATCCAAAAAGCCTTTTTATAACTTGAGTGAATTTTCAGAACATTTATTTAAATTAATCTGAAAACGCAAATCGCTTCCCCCTCAGCGTGTGCAGTGAATTTCAGCAGAACAGGCAGGCTGATGCGGGCAATGAGAACAGAATTACATCCATAAGGTGTTCCTTCTGTGCTCAATATGTATTTGATCATATAGGATCGTAGTTATATCTGAAAGAAAAAAGGGAAAAAAGTCCTGAAACAACCAGTCGCCTCGTGTTTGGTTGGAGGGTGGTTTCCCAGCCCGTCCATCCCCTATTTACGCAGCAGTCTCCGTACACAATGTGGCCACAAATCCTCCCTTACAAAATGAGTTTCGGAAGTTGAGCGCTCCTCCTGGTTTGAGTTTAGCGCAAAACAGACACTCAACCATGATAATAGCATAAGTTCTAATGGGGAAGTCTCGCTTTCACTGGCTGTGCTTCCCTTTTCTGAAACTGACCAGCAGCTTTCGGAGGTGCCCTCTTTCAAAAAGGACTTTGATAATTGCGAGCGTGTGTGTTGTCTATTTGTGTTTTGTAGTTTCACAAGTTGGATACTCGCAGCAGAACCGGGACAGAAGGACTGATAAAGACAAGTACCGACACACCCGTGGATTGTATAATTTGGATATTAGTGATGCGCTGCCAGACTCTGTGGATTTGCAGACCGGTGCGAGTTTTGTGGTCCCGACACGGTCCAACGTGGTGTACATAACGCTAAAGTCTAAGCGCCTGAAACCAGCAAATATTCGGGGTACAATCAGACCAAAACTGAGGAGAAAAGTGAGAAGGACTAAGTCGACTAATTTATCTTTTACGCAGAACAAACTTGGCACTTTGGAGCGGGACGCGGGCCAAATTAAGCGCAACATTGCACACAAGACTTCCTGGGGAGAGAGCAGGGATGTCGATTATAAATCTTTGGATATAATCCCTAAATCTCACATAGATGCACAAACAGACTCTCAGATTAGTTCTATCAGAATTTACAGCCAGAAGGCACCGCCATGGTTCAGCCCACAGGACGTGAAAGCCATGCGCTTTCTTGCGGATGCCAAAGTTTTGCGCATCAAAGAAGTTTCTGGTGGAGACTCTCCATCACTTCTGATATTTGAGGGCGAAACAAGTGGTTCAGTGACCAACCAAAAGCCGGAAAAACTGAGCAATGTATGTGGAGGGCAGTGTGGTATAATCAGCAGTCCTGTGGACACCACTGAGGTCTTCGCTTTTCATCTGGACCGGGTGCTGGGGCTCAATAGGACATTACCAGCTGTAAGCAGAAAGTTCAGCTTTTTACACGGTATGTCATCAGACACGAGGACATAGCTCCTTATTTTCTGTTTGGTAAAACTCGACAGCTGTTGAAACCAAGTTCATTCACAACTGTACTGTTTAATGGCAAGCAGTGAATGATGATGACAATCACTGTAGCATGAAGGCACGAGAGAGAGAGAGAGAGAGAGAGAGAGAGAGAGCAGGAGGAAGGTGGTGATGGTTGTCTGCAGAAAATAAATGACATTTTCTAACTTGATTACTTGGTTTCCTCACTCAGAGTGCAATGCATCATCACCATCACAGCACTGTAATCAGTTCTATGGAGACATAGACTGAAACTATGAATGACTATGAATATTACCCTGATTATTTGGCTCTTACTATGCAACTTCATCATAAATGTAGGTGGTTTTAGAGCCATTAGACTGTATAATGTAAGTGCTCCAGTACAATAAATAACTCATGGTAATTATATGTAACCTAAAGACTAATCAGTGTTAACATTTTAAAGTCACTGTATGCTATGGACGAGTTAAATGCCATATAATAGTAAAATAGAATGTACTATGATTCACAGGGAAATCAATGTAACACATTTAAGAAAAATGTCAAAGCACTGTAATGAGAGCTCCCAAGAGGTGTAACTGGCAGTTAAGGGTCAAACACACAGCAGGGGACAGAGAGCCACTGTCCACTTTCCTCTCTTCCCCACATCACCATTATTCCTTCTAGAGTGACATCTGCAAGGGAAAAAAAACCCTCTTAGATAGCACAACATCATGTTTCTATCGGATTTACAAGTGCTTCATCAAACATAAAATGTCAAAATGAAATATTATATGTACTGAGACCATAAATTGCACATTACAGTCTTGGGCCTTGGGTTGTAAAATCCCCAATGAGCTCTACTCTTTGGTGCTATAGCCCCTACCACAGTAAATGTTGTTGTTGTTTGATACATCACTTAAGCAAAATGAAAACATCATTCCATTTACAGTCCCTACCATTTCTGAGGACAGTGAGTTAGAGACAATGTGTTACAGTAAGAAACATGCTGGTCACCATTTGCAATTCCTGGACTATCTTTCTCTTGTCTTGATCTGCTCTGGTAACCAATGTAGATTGAATAAATGCCAATAAGAACACTACCACCAAGCATATGTATTTCTCAATAAGCTTGTCCTCCATAAAAAAAGGGTTTAAACAGTCACTGAGACTCAACAATTGCTGACTATATATCCTTATATCCTCCCTCTTCAGATGGCCAGCCCTGTCCGGTGGTTTCATGGGATGCATCTCTTTACCCAGAAGGCCTCGCTGCAGGCTGGTCTGCCGTGAGGTTAACATGGGGGCAGTACCAGAGATCCCTGAAACAGAGGTGCTGGCATAAAAACACCAGCCCAAAGCCAGACTCAAGCTGCTCCACAGTTCTTCACTATGAGTGGAGTAAACTGGCTCTGTTTGACTTCTTGTTACAGGTAATAATAACAATTTGAAAAATGAAAACTTGTGATAGTGACAGATTTGAGAAATTCCACATTACTCTAAATGTGAAAAAAAAAACAAGTCTGCAACTTCCGTGCTTTGGTTTGTGTTTGTGCAGTTTTTAGCTTGCTTTATTGAAATCTAAAAATGCTTCATAAATGACTTCTGCAAAAATCTTTTTTTCCTGACATCAGCAATATGTTCCAACAGCTGTTATTTCTGAAAAATAGGTTAAATATCCTCTGAGGTATTGTCCTTTGGCTGAATAGATGTCTTGTTTCCTGTGTGGGAAGGCTGGATCTCTGATCAGATCGAGGACACATCTCCTGAGAATGATTTAAATTCATCTCTTGATCATGAAGGAGCAAACTAGTAGAGAAAATAATTGGAAAATATGTATTTCAAAATAGTTTGGATACCTTTCAAACTACTAAATCAGCCACTGAGGTCATATTGCAACAGTTTTGATTATTCATCTCCTTAATTTGCTCTTTATCTCAGGTTCCTTACAAATAAATGATAGGGTTAGCAATGAGACATTCATATTGTGAGGCTGCAGGGCACATAAACCATCTTGTCAAAGTAAACTGAAGGTATTACATTGATTTTCTTGATGCTGAATAACAGATAAATCACAACTATTCATACCATATACTTTCTTTATTGCCACAGTGACAACAACCATGGCTGAACACTAAAGCCAAAGTGGAACTCCTTAGGCTCCTCTAATACCACTATCCTCGCTCCAAAGAAACTGATCACATTAAAGTCAGTGGTAATACCTCCAACATATCCCAAGTGATATTGATACATATATATGGGTAAATGGTGGCTGTGGCTCAGGATGCAGAGTGGGTTGTCCACTAATCAGACGGTTGGTGGTTTGATCCCCGGCTCCCCCTGCTACATGTCCAAGTGTCCTTGAGCACAGGGAAGTGTGTAAATGCCCTTAGTTTCTGTTTCATCTGATGAGCAGTTGGCAGTTGGTTTGGAGGTGTTAAAAGTCTTTGTTTGAAGGTAGTAGGGCTTACAGGAAGGTATGGTTTGTGGCTTGTTGTCTTGATTGACAGGTGTCCTGGAGGTATTTCACCTCATCACACTTCATGCGTTGGTGGATGATCATTGACCCAAGTCGCCCCAACTCCCAAGTTTCTGAAAAAGGTGGCCTATGAGTGGGACCTAATCCTGGCTTCAAAAGTCCCATCTGAAACCTATGAGTGGCATCTCAGATTCTGCATCATTGGTCTTTGGTAGCACTGCCTAAAACCTCTGCCAATCAAATGGTTTGCCTTTAGAGAGTGAGCTATGCTTTGAAGCTGGAGTTGTGATTATGGCCGGTCCTTGTGGAGGAAGCAGGAGTGTTATAAAAAGAGGCGCCGTCTGATAGGCTTAAGAAAGTCCCCTGTGCAGTCATTAATTATGTCTCTCAGCAGTCTTGTAACTGATGTCAATATCTAACCAAACAAACAAGCAGTCCGCATGCCAAGACTGCTGGATGTGTTCAGTTTTGTCTTTGCCAAACATTTTAAATTATTTTATCTTGTCATCAAATTATTTTGTAGTCTTTGAGTTAATGTAAAAGGGAGACAGTCACTATTGCAAAATGAGCTTGTTGAGGTCAATACAATCTCCTGCGCTTGCCAGGGTCATCAAACATAACTCCCGAAATACCAATCTGAAAATTCCTCAGTGTCAGTCACAGCTGTGATTGCTTTCTCAGTACATCAACTACAAGTATTCTCTGAAGAAATATGAACAATTTATTTTACAGATTCACAACCGTCTAGATCAGAGCTGCTGTGGATTCAGGCCCAGGAAGGAGGATGTGTGTTTGGGACTCGGTCACCATGCCGATTGTGGGGACCAGAGCCACATACAACTGACAAACATCATCCACAGGGGTCATGACCCCAGACACCTAGTCTTCACCAACAACAAGGGGTTCTTCGACCGCAATGAGGACAACCTGGACTTCAGGCTCCTGGAGGGAATCAAAGAGTGAGTTTGGATCACAGTATTGACGGGGCCACAAAAACATCATTATGTGATAAATACTGATTGTTTTTATTGATTCATATATTAAATTAAACAGTTACAAGTATTGCCATAAACATTTATGAAAGTTTGAAGAAACAGATTTGATTTTAACTTGGAGTGTGTGTGAGCAAAATAACAACCATTTCCAAAATGTCTGTAGTTAGGAACAAAATGTATAAGTGGGCAGGACCATTTATTAATCTTTTTTTTTTAAAGGTAAAAGTGTCCACTGGAGGATTGGTTGTATTTTGTTGATGGACAGTCTTTCTTATTTTCAGTAGCTGTTTACCATAGTTATTCCCTTAACAACATGGTTGAAAAATTCCAGCGCACAAAGCTGAAAAAGCAGATTTGACTCTCTTCCATTCCTTTTCAGAAACCTTGAATTTAAAGTTTTGCATGCAATTGTCTGCAGTACAAAGCAGCAATTTAGAAACATTTTAAAGCTGTTTTCCGCTTTTAAAACTGCAATTTAGATGTTAAAAATGTATGTAATTTTAGTAAATATTTAGAGCTAGTTCAACAAAGTAAATTGTGTGTTTTGGATATGAATCTCAGGGGCATGATAATGTGTTCTTTCTGTTTATCCCCCAAAGATCTGTGTGGATCTGTCATTCTGAACCACACTGCTGAGACACTGCTTTAATTCAATCTACCTTTTGATCAATAAATCAGTGAGTGATACCACAGGGGACACAGAACAAAAACTGTGGTTTGGCAAGGGCACTCATGTCACCTCCCCAAACACGGATCCTTGTGATCCTCATCAGAACCGTAGCTTCTATTCTGCCATTCAAATCACATATAAAGGCAACATCAGTCTAAATGTATCTGTTATCAGATGGCCTTAGGCGATAAGACCACAAGGCGGCATTAATACCTGATTTTTGTTTGATGTTTTGCTGAATTCTCTGTAGATCTGAGGGTTCTTTGACTTTTATCAAAGCTAAATAAACTGATGTTTGACATCTTATTCCAGGCACATTCCAAACTGACATGTACAACATATACTATCGAAGTTTATTGAAAAAGCTGCAACCACTTAGCAGTCTCTCCACTGCTTTTCTCCAGTCATCTTCAAAGTCCACATGACCATGTCCCACCTTTTTTCTCTTGTGGTTTGTGATTTAAAGGGACATTGTGTAGTGTTTTAAGTATTTTATTAGCTAAAATCAATGTCTTTATTCATAAATGTGTCCTCATTGGTGTAAAATTACCTTTGCACTGCACTTGAGTTAATAATGGAGGATCATACTTATGCCAAGCCACAGGAGAAGGAATCCTTGTCGCCAAAAAAGGAAAAAGGGAATTAAAAAGGCAACGTGACCGGGGAATTCAAAAAACGAGGGTAAATATCGGGGTAGCTTTTCCCAGGTGGAAAGAGCTAATGAAGGAGAAGTTGCCTGCTTTCTCCTCGACAGGTAGGCTTCTTGGTACATAATGGCTACCGTAGTTGCAATACGCATTTGAAAACGCGAGGCACTAGAGAGCACTATTCGTTTGAATGCAAAATACAATTTCACTGCTAGATGGGAGAAATTCCTACACAATGTCCCTTTAAACTATACAAACATTTCTCTGAGGCACAACTCCTCTGCAGGGACTAAAAAAAAAAAAAAATATCCACTCAAAACTCAAGTGAGGTGAGCGACAAAACAATATCTCTGAGTCAAGCAGAAAATTGCACTTTTAGTTTCGTTCATTCACAAACATCCAATAGCTGTACTGAGTTTATAGGCTTGTCATGCTTCAATCCGGGTAGATTTATCTTGTTCTAGTTGAAAACACATAAGGTGTCACTCGCCCAACTCCAAACCTGACTGCTGCAGCCAGCTGCCGCGCGGCTCCGCATGATATACTGATCTCGTTTTTCATTTCTGCTGATACTTCATTTGTATGAGTGGAGCTTTTACCCACTTGTAAGCTGTTGAAATGTCAAAAATATACCAGAAGTGCTAACTTTCAGCTTGTACTTGTGCTAGAATTATGAGTAACCCTTCATGTCACTCCCAGTGAAGCATCCTAAGAGGCAACCAATGCCGAATATATGAAGTGTAATTTCAGCTGCCAAGAAGCAGACAGCCGCTGTTTCTCTGATTTACAGATGGCTAATGTAAATGTCAATCTGTGTTTTTCTACTACACTTCTATCTGTCAGCTGTACTTAGTAGTTCCAGTTGGATGAAATTCCAGTGAGAAATAACAAGCTATTAGCAGTAATGATGCTAACACAGACTACACACAGTGGGCCCTTACATGTAGTGAAAAATAAAGAAGTGCCTTTCCACAATGGTTGCATAAAAAAGTAATGATAGTGTTTAAGAAAATAACTTTATTTCACTCAAATTGATGATAATTGACTTTTTGCTAAACCCCTCCTCCGATCAGCAACTGTCCGATCATTGATTAGTAACTGTAACTAGGCACTGTGGGCCTGACAAGCTTTGGATTTCTCTACATGTTTAAGCCAAATCCCCATGCTTTAAAGCCAATTTGACATTCTGGCCAAACCGTGTAATGGCAGCAATAATGCTCCAAAAGACTGTTTCCCATGAGCTGGAATTGTGAAAGGAGCAGCTGTAAAACGGTGGATAACGTTTTTTGAGCATCACAACCCCTGTAGGATGACTTGGCATGATTAAATTATTTTATTCCCATTCAAGTTAGTGGAGGGCTAGACCAGAAGGTAGTGGTTTAGGTGCGCTTGGCCGGTGTAAGTCTCCAGTGCGCTTGCTCTATGGGCCCTACAATGCTGAAGCAGATGCATAATTTTATACCTTAACTTTTTTCACTTTATGTGCCACTGAGCTGCTTATTCTGGCTTTCCTTCCTTTTCTTCTCTTCCTTCTCTGAAGTGATCACACAGTTTGCGACGGCATGTGGCCCGACGGGTCTGGCAAACGAAGATATCTTGTTGGCCTTTTAGTTCCATGGTTAATTAACTCTGTGAATTTGGTCAGGTGCATTTTGATCTCTTTATCACAAGTTGATCCAATGAATACGCCGTGATGGATAACAGAACTAATAGATGTGTGACAGGCTATGTAGGCTGCTACCTTCAGCTCACTTCTCTGTGTTGTCTCGTTTTGCTTTGAAACTGTGAATCCAATGTTTGTAACATCATTGAAGAGAACGGTGCTATGTTTCTTATGTTTATCAGTGCTGACACGTTGAACAAGATCTGCATGATGCGCACATACTTCATAATTACAGAATCGGTTCTTTGCCTTTGAATTGTCTCCACTTGAGGTCGAATCCAGTCTTATAATCCACTCTCTTTCTCCCACTCTTTGTTATATTATATTTCGCCCACTTAGTCCCTGATGTTGTTTGCTTAGTTTCTAAAGAAACTCCATCAATCACATGATTTTGACCTAAATTAATTCTATTTGAATTATTAATTCTATTGCACCTTTTTCAGACAGTATTTTTTCCAGAAAGTCTGTGTTACAATTGCCTTCTTAATATTGCAGTGGGTATAGTGTAAGGAAACAACCAAGATAAAGTTGCAGCAAAGACTAATTTGATTCAAACTGCTTCTATTTTTGGCAAGTTTGACTTTACTGTTGGTATACTATAAAAACAGGATAGGGCTTTGCCTAGTGGGAACCAATCAGATTATTTCTGCTCCCAGCCAAGAGCAGCTCTGCCTTTGAGACATGCACCTGGAACTAAAATTTGATTGTTCTTCTTCCTGACTTTCTGTCTTTCTAGGCTTCCGGAGAGGGCTGTGTCAGTGCTGAAGAGTAGGAGACTGAGGGAGAAACTCCTCCAGTCTCTGTTCCTGGACCAGACATACTGGGAGAGCCAGGGGGGCCGGCAGGGCATCGACAAGCTGATCGATGTAATTGAAAGGCGGGTGAAAGTCCTTCTCACCTACATCAATGCTCATGGGATCAAGGTCATTGCAATGAATGTGTGATGAAAGTTACACCTGTCAAGTGGCTAATTTACCGAGACACAGGTAAAGCAAATGAATGGCTTGATCCCTGTGTCCTTTCACAATGTCCTTTTACAATGTCCTTTTACAAAACACTGGAGCTTTATCCGCTTACATTTTCTAAGTGGGTCCGGATAAAAACATTACGTAATGTCCAGTTAAATATTGTTTCACATATTTAATTCAATATCAGTTTATATCACAAGAGCGTAAAATCACGTGTTGTCAATTAAAGCTGGTCCTAATCTTCAAGACAATCTAATTTTACAGTGAAATATTGTGAAATTAACTCTTACACTGTTATAGCAAGCCATTCAAGTCATTTGAGGTTAAGGAAACAACTATAAACATCTAATTTGCATAATACACTGAAAGAGGCTTTAATTTAACTAATTTGACATTAAAAATTGGTCTAACCTTTTCTCAAAGAAACCTGTTTTGCTTCCTTCTGTTGAGTCTTCATGTGTGTCTCCCCCAGAGGCAAATACATTATAGAATTTGGTTCAGTTTTAACTTTCCTCCTCCTGAGGCCTTCCAGCAAGTGTAATTTGCATTGTGTGTGAATGGAATGCACTAAATGATTCTTCTCCGCTCCTGAATGTTTTTAAAGCCTCTAAGCGTAGTTCAAGTCCCAACTCAGATCGATGCAGCTTGATTGGCGTCAAACAACATAATTTATTATCATGAACATTGTACATTATGAAACATGTTTGGAAAAAACTATTGACTGTACATTGTACACTGAAGAACTTTAAGATGAGAAGTCAGATGGTGTTATTCTCTTTTATGTCTCTTATTATAAATTTACCTATAAAGAACACCTTAATCTATAACCGTTATGACTGCATTTATTTATTTTTGTACTTTCTTTTCTAATTGTTGAAAATGTTAGTCAATAAAAGCATTTATTTGTGAAATGGTTATTTTATTACATGTATTTTGGTTTGAAACATGACAAGACTTGATTTCAGGTAATTTCTCAGTCACAGACAGACCTACAGTTTCATTCACATTTACTTTACTGTGACCTTATACAAATTAATCAATGAACCATTTAAAGTGTGCACATAGTACCAGTCAAAGCATGGTCAGAAATAGTCTCTGAAACCTGGCTCTGAAACCTGAGCCACAGCGCGGTGTCTGCTGTTCATGCTGTCGTAAACAGTGTGCTTTGGGCTCTGAGAGTTGGAGTCGATGGGGCTTTGTAGGTTATTTTCTCGTGTCCGTACCGGGCATTCACTAGGCTGTTGTTTTAACCCCTCTCCACCCGCATTAGAGCGTCAGTGGGGACCATGCCTCTGTGTGTTTGTGTTAGAAAGACCCTTCTAGTTCCCAGAGTGCTCTGCAGCGGAACTCACTTTCGTTGCACACATGTGTGAATGCATATTCCCACACAATAACATACACACAGACAAAAGCTGACTTTTGACCAATGTATGTATGCAACAATATGTGTGAAGACACACACACAAATACACACATACACAAGAATTATGATCTGGACCTTTCCTGACAGTTTCCCCGTGTTCCCACATTCAGACTGACTCAGTGAAATAAGACCACTCCAAAAACTGTGTGTAAAGCTCTGCAGGTCAAGTGCTGCACTCCAAACTGACAAACAAGCCTGTACAAGCAGCTACTTAGTCAGTCAACTCAGACACATGTCAGCCAAGCCATATTTTCACTTGCGAAAAATATGGTTCTACAATACTGCATATAGGAAGGAAGTAAAAGTCCTCTCTACAAGTAAGCAATAGTGTGCAGGGTCATGTAATATAAGCAGAAACATGCACTGCCGGTTTTGAGAAAAAAATCTATTCATTCAACTCCACTTGTTTATGAAATGCATAAATTAAACTCATTGAAACACCTGATACTTTTACACTCTTTGTTGGGGAGAGGCAACTGACATGATGTCCAAACTACTGCAAAGATGGCAGAGCAACAAGAGTTGCACTTATTGCCTCATGTGATGTCCTGAATAAAAATGTCCTGGTAAAGCTGTAAATAGATAATTAAAGTGGTGAAATGACACTCTGAAGTAACATTGGCTTTACGATACTAAAATATTTTCATATTAGGCAATGCTACTGGCACATCTGCCAGATATACTGTATCTGAATCAGGGACAGTCATTATAAAACAGCACTTTACATGTTATATCTCAAAACAAAGTGTAAAAATAACAATTGACCATCTGATGGGGGGGTTATGAGCCAGACACTTGGCTGGGACATGCTGTTTCCAGTCAGCAAGTGAGGACTCCAGGAAGTTACTGGCCTTTATATTATTATATATTACTAATATATAAGATATATTAGCCCTACGATGCACAGATGCAGTGCAGCAATGCTCATTATCACATTTGACATGGATTTACCCTAATGATTCCATTCATTGTTATGGGTAAAGGCCTATTTGATCCTGAACAAACACAATAATTAGTTAAATCTACAGTAAAAGTTTAATAGGAGAAAAAAATATGCATCACAGGATTGTGTGCCTTAAAGGAAAATGCAGTGTTTGCAAATGATATCTCCTCAGGCAAGTTGTTCAATTTTAAATACCTAAAGAGGCAGTGTGCTTTGTACTTCAGTTTTCATTTTGTTCAGCAGGTTTTGGCTTGAGCACTGGGAAAGTTTGTGCTTTTGTTAAGCTGGTAAATTGGATCATTTTTCAACAGTTTTCATGAAACTTCCCAAGGTTTAGCTTCAGGAATGGTTTGTGAGTTATACAATTACTCTGTATGAATGTTTCTTTTTTCTTTATGATAGGTCTAACATGTTCACTCTTGTTTACACAGATAATGAGCCTTTTGCTAAATGTTTCTTCTTGTGTCTGCTTTTCTTCTTCCTCTTCCACTCCCTTCACCTCTTCTTTTTGCCCTAAGTTCAGTTAGCATTGTTAATCTTCTTCCTGCTTCCAAGGGAGTGTAGAAATTGAGAAGATTGTATCTCAGAGGCAGTGGATGAGAATAATTTGGAACGGTTAACCTCAGCTGTTCCCAGCTGGTTGCTGCCTGGTCAGACTCCAAACAGAGGAGCTCTTTATTCTTGTAACCACAGCTCAGCAGCGATAATCACTCTGCTTTACCATGATGTCACTATTCCCATTCCCTGCTCTCCAGTTTGCCACTGACCCTCACTGAACTCTGGCAACAGTCTAGCAACAGAGCAACTTATTTTTTGTGACATTTAATCATTTATTTGGTGTAATTTGTTTTCTCTCAATTAATTGTTGCATCTCATATCTGTACGCTGAATATTAGAATATGAAGCTAAAAGCAGCAGCTGGTTAGCTTAGCTTACCGCTAAGACGGGACGGAAACAGCTACCTTTGCTCTGTCCTAAGGTGACAAAATCCATCTACCAACATTCACTCATTAATATGCCATATCTTGTTTGATTATTCTGTACAAAAACCAAAGTGTAAAAACAACTACTTTAGCTACCAGCTCCCCCCCATGCTAGGCTAAGCTAAGCTAAACAAACTGGATGCAGCTTCATATTTAAGGGACAGACATGAGGCTATCACTATTTAGTTTTGGCAAGGGAATAACCATACAGTATATCCCAAAATGTTGAACTACTCCTTTAAAATGTACCACCTCCTCTTGGCGGAGGAGTAATACCCACACTAACGTCATAACTTTATTTTATTTATTTTTTAAAGAAGATACATTTTGGGAAGTGAGACTTTTTATCTGTTGCTGTTTTTATCCCCCCCTTCCAATTCTCTGATACGACATGCTTTTACATTTCATCCAGAACAGCTTTCATATTTCTTTGAAGCCAGAGGGTCTCGCTGTTTTCTATTAGGCCTTTTTAATTTGTGGACCATGTAGTCTTAGAAGCATCACTGCCTTTCACTGCCAAGAGTCTTCAGGAGTGTTTCAACAACACAGCACGTGGGTGGTCACTGCCAGAATGCTCCAGAGGTAGATTACATGGCATGATAACAAGAAAAAAAGCACTCAAATTATTATTTTTTGTCTCCTTCAGCACAAAAGTTACCAGACACAACAAAATATCCTGCCATGCTGCCTCCAACACTGTTAGGAAGGAAGTTCCCTTTTGCTGATAAGGACTTTAGAGGAGAAATTGAAAGAATGTCAACATGTGTCAGATGAAGTCATGTCAAAACTTGCTTGTTTCACTAAATAGCCACATCATTCTTTGCTTAAAGATTTATGGAATCAGGACACACAGTGAATAACAGTCTTTTTTGATGACTTTAGCTACATGTAGAAACAGTTTTTCGCAGGTCTGGCACGCTGCCTGGATCTTTTATTCCCATCCCCTCTTTGTGAAAAAGAACAGGTCTGAGAGGATTTAACTCAGCTGTCCTTACTGAAAATATCTCATCCTGCAAATCTTACTTCTTGCTCCTTGAGGGTTTTAATATCCCATCACTTGACAGTTGGAATGGCCCCTGTCTGTTGTTGCAGTTTTTCCCTCCATTTCATTATTACCTTTTGAAATTCAACATGAGCAGACGACAAAAAGAAAACTTTTGTTTCTCAATGGTTTTTATTCTTTTTTAAGGCACATCTCTGACTCAGGGCCTATTGATTTTTTGTTTCGCCTATATTATCCATACCAAATAGCTTTGACTGTTTCCATAGCCACAGTTTTTGTGTAATACTGATTACTGAGAAATGTAAAATATCCCCCTAAGGCAGCTATTGTGTTTCTGGTTGTCTGATTCTTCAGAAATAAATGTCATGAGTAAATGTGCTGCATTAATAAGTGAACCGAAAGTTGAACTTCAGCTGCAGCTCAGATTGAAGCCTATTCAATTAGAAGGCTCTCTGTCAGGTAAGAATGCAGCTAAATGAAATAGTTTGCCAGAGGCGGCATACAGACACATAATCTTTGAAATCCAATTTAATGAAAGCAGTGGGTCAAGAATCAACTTGACCTAAGCACTGAAATAGTAACAGACTCAGATTCTATTAGCAGAGATTTTAAATAGCTTGTTAATCCATATGTCATGTTCAGAGGTGAAGGTGAATAGCTTCAGGCTCATCTGTGACCAAGAATAAGACGAGTGAGCAACTTCCTTTGGTGCAATGTCCTCCAAGATATGATTATAGTGAATATAAGCACAGTGCGAGGCTCCTGCCAGCTGCCTGGGTATAAGCACTCCACTGTGGCATGTAACCAGACCTATAAATTCCATCTTTCCGACTTACTTTTTCTCTTTTTGATTCTGGAGGAGTTCTGCGGGTCAGGAGTGGGGTCAGTGGCAGAACATTTCTCCCTGGAGATGGTTCAGATTCAGTGTGTTGCTCAAGGACATTTGAGCAGGACATCTGAGGTCATCAGGGATCAATCCAAGTGTCAGTTACAAGGCAGACTCTCCAACCACTCGTCTACCCTGCTTTCATTTTGCAATTGCAATGGGAAGGGTTTAGGGAAGCAATTTCCCTGCTAATATCTAATGCTGAAAACAGCTGACCCTGAGAGTAGAAGCTCTTATTGGTCAAATGCTTCTATGGTTCAATACAAGGTGATCAACCACATGTGGGACACTTTGGGAGAACAGAAAAAAACTGAACAATTACATAAAAATCTACAAGCTGACACTGAAAACAAAATATCATTGCAGGTTTTACATGTTGTGGTCAGGAAGGAACTTTCATCGTATCACTTGAGGTCTAAACCCGAGCAGAGACATATAAAGCTGTGGCCCTACATTAAAGGGATGAGCGCACATACTAAAAACCGGGGTGAGGCATCTCCATGGACTGGCATCTCAAACATCTGCTGCCGGAGATATATGGGGCAATCAAACATTTGTGGGCTGAATATGTCACATTCTATATTTAGAGATGGTATGATGAGAGAGGTGTGGCATGTGGAGCATGCAGCAGACTCTGAATGAGACCATTGAGGATCATTGCTCATATGATTTA